GGGGGGGGGGGGCACACTCACGTGTAAAGTGAGTTGGCAGCGGATTACATAGATATTAGGACTGTGTGTGTGTGTGTGTGTGTGTGTGCGTGTGCGACTCGCACCGTCCTACCATCTAGGAGCGGGGAAGAGCTGCAAGAGTGTGTGTTTCTGAAGAAAGGCAGAACACAAGTGATGTGTCGCTGACTTTTCAGGCTCCTTCACACCTGGAGATCCACCGGAAGCCACTCGCTACCTCATCTCTGCACAACAAGTGGACTTTGAGCACTTTATCACCGGCGCTGCTTGTTCTCCCGCTGGCTGGGAAGCCCACTGGGGTGTCACTCCTGATTTCCTCGGCCCAGTGGATGCCTTCTAGCTCTGACCATGGGAGAATGGACCATCCTAGAGCGCCTCCTGGAGGCTGCTGTGCAGCAGCACTCTACTATGATTGGAAGGTGAGTGGTTAGCAGAGCACCAGGTACGAGTGAGGGCTTCAAAATGAACCACTCTGATTTCTATCACAATGTGAGTTACAGAGAACGAGTCATCCTTTGGTGCTGGTCAGTGATTCCTGGTTCAGAGTCTCTGATTGTGGCTTTAGCCTCGTTAAATCCCCCAAGTGACTTGATGGGATGTTTTATGCGTCTGTAAGAGACAGTATTAGTCCACAGACAGGCTCTGAATGTCAGGGGACACAGAGCAGTGTGAAGACATCTCCTCTGAGACGCTCAACGCGCCTGATTTCGCACGTTTCATTTCTCACAGCGAAAGCTCTGTGTGTTTTCTATCTGGTTCCTCAGCAGCTTTCGAAGCCTCCGTGTTGAACATGCATCTTGTCACAGTTTATTAGAGCATCCATCCCAACCCCCACCTTTTTTTCCCCCAGTTTATCAAATGAAGTCATTTTCTGGAGCTAAAAAAATGAGTCAATGCACGGTCACTGCAGCTATGATTTATGCATCCTGCTGCATGCAGAGATGTCTTGTATTTTAGTCTGTATAAATCGTTCCGGCAATTATTCATGAACGTTTTAGCTTCAGAGGAAAATCCACCAAGTTAATATAATGAAACTTACACTGAGCAAATGACTTATTGCAGAAGGTGTTTTAAGGACGTCTATGACACCACAGGTTCAGCTTAAGTTCACAAGAAGCTGACTTTGTAGTTTAAATCAGTTCCCCAAAGCCACTGATTTCCTCTGGTTATGGGAGGTTTCAAATATACAGGATTATATTCATCCTCGGTGTGAATTCTGAGGCATGTTATGAACCTAAAGTTATTTTGAGAGTTCGTGAAAGATTATTAAACCATCGAGCATGAGGCGGTTGCCAGGGGGATTTACCACCTCATTGTTTCTGCGGCTTAAATCTGTTTGATAGGAGGCCAGAGGGACCAGAGCACAGCCATGGTGTCACATTGACCAGCTTTCTCCAGCCAAGAAACTGATCAGTATGTCACCTTTTGCTGCACTCTGCCAGTCAGCTGGCTTTAAGAAGATAATGGTGTTCTTCCCTAACAATTCTGACAACTCTGTTGACTGGAAATATCTCCAAAGGAGAGCTCCCGATCAGTTTAACAGTGTAGTAAAGCTGCAGCAAAGGCGCAACAATCATTTACTGAAACACTACTATTAAATCTAGCAGGTGTTGTAGCTAGAGGTCCAGTTAATGCGGACTGCAAACCTGCAAAATACAAAATGGTCAAGGTTCCTTCTTACTTAGAGGACGTCATATCTGGAACAGTTTACCATCAGCAATACAAATGTTAGCGGATCTTAGAGATTTTAGTTCCCACGTCAAACCATGGCTGAAACAAAAATTAACATGTGAACGCTAATGTATACCAACCTACTTTGTTATGGAAAATTAGTTATCTCTAATATGCATTTTTATGTATTTATTGTTGTAAGTAATACAGCATGTGTGTGTGTGTGTGTGTGTGTGTGTGTGTGTGTGTGTGTGTGTGTGTGCGTGTGTGTGTGTGTGTGTGTGTGTGTGTGCGTGCGTGCGTGCGTGTGCAACGGGAATCTTTCTTTTAAAAAGCCAGCCAAGGACTGAGTTTACAAATGAGCCTGTAGCTAGAAAACCTTCGTACAAAACAACACTTGCTTTGTTTTTATCATGTAACTTTGTTTACTGTGCTGTCCTTGATTAAATAAGCTTGAATTGAATTTGTATATTCAATAACATTACTATAAAAATGATGATCATTTTGAATCAATAAGAATAACCAGATTTTCTTTGTTTATTTTTTTACTAAATATAGTTAGATGTTGTTCTATATTTTTATTTGACTTTAAAGTCAGAGCAGTGAAACCCATAAAATGGAGCAGCTTTTGCTCCAGTTTTCCCACCCAATGCCAAGTCGGCAGCAGCTTGTCAGAGATGTTTCCCGTGTTGTTATGATAAATAAACGGTCAGCGTTTACTTCCACTCATCCACGGCACACTAGAAATGCTCTGTTGCTCATCAACCTGGATAGTCATAATTGCTGCAGGGTCTGAGTGAGAGTGAGAAAGAGGAGAGACGGAGAAGGGAGGTTGCCAAGGTCAAGAAGCTCCTGAAAATGTTGACATCTGTGAAGGATTTATTTCAGCTGCAAAGTAAAAAATGGACGAGACGAGCAAGAAACGGGAGAATAAGGAGCAGATGTCAGACAGCAGAAAAGAGCGGTTATTCAGAGTGAAGTGAGGTGGAGTGAAGTAAGCAGACACACACGTTAGTCGCCCCGTTGGTGAGAAGCCAATAGGGCCGTCTCGTCACGAGATGGTGCTGGGTGTCACGACCCGAGCAGAGCATCTGCTGCCATGAAAAATCTTCTTCACACAGATCCAGTCTGCTGTGCAGAGACGGGAAATACTTGGATACAAACTGATAGAATTACAGTAATATTGTCACAAAGGCTTTCCTGTTGCATCTGTTTCGTCTGAAGTGTTGGCTTTTTTTTTGTTCTTCTCTGATAAAACTAGGTTTTATTTTTCACCAAATATCCCGTTTATCGGTCCTGCATGTTACATAATTTGATGGTCTTCCTTATCGGTTGGAAGCTTTTTTACATCTTCACACAATCAAGTTTTTAAGATAGGAACCCTGAGTTGCCATCACATTTTGACTACTTGTGATCTTCAGAAGAATGAAATTTGTCAATATTTTGAAATAAATGATCACTTAACCTCCAGGTATTCAGATAGATGGTAATAAACATCTGACATTCACCAAGTCATTGTTGTTTTTGAAGGAATCTGGACTACATTCACTCATCTTTATTTCAATACCTAAAATATTTATTCATCTAATTAAACTAAAGTGATTAATTCTGTATAACTTATGTGAGGTGTGAGAACAGCGACGAAAAAAACTACAATGATTGTTTTAGGCTACGTTTAGTTTTTAAATATGTTTATTCTCTTTTAAAACACAAACTTTTTATTCCCTTACGGTTATGGAGCTGGATAGATAGGAACATGTGGCTTTATTTACTAAAATTTGATTATTTGATGCACTTCGATCACTTGGAGTGGAAATATGAAAAGGTTTTTTTTTTTTTTTTACTTTCGGTTGCTGTTATTTTTGAGTGAACATTCTCACGCTCCTGCAGTAGCATGCCTTCCTGGCATCTGACCTCTAATCTGGGCTGGTATCACTGACGAGGATTTCCATAAATACACATTTGAAAGACGAAAACCCATTGGATCAAAGCCCGCTGTGACTTTCAGGCGTGTGATTGGTCAGCAAGGGTGTCGTCAAATTCTGGAAGGCGCTGAACAGGTTGCTGTCCCCGAGGCGATGCCAGTGTGTGTTCTCATGAGCAAAACACACCAGCAGCCTGTGTGTCTGAGTCATTCATCACACACGAGTCACACACACACACACACACACACACAGACACATTAGGGTAAAGGTAAAACTCCTTTGTGTACAATGGCAGAGGGCTCCAAAGATTCCCTTCTTTGGTCATATCCCATGGAAATGTGGATAGGTTGCATTGGCTGCCTGTGTTTGGCTATTAAGCTGCCAGCAGAGATGAATCCTTTGCTGTTACAAGCAGTGGGTGAGCTGATGGACTCTCTGGTGGCTGAGGCTGTTGGTCCAGACAGCCGGTGAGGATTAACAATGATGAAGAACTCTGCCCTTAACTACTATCAACACATGATTCAGTGCCGCCTCTGCAGCTCAGCTCCCCAGGCCAAATTCCCATTTATGTGCTGCCACTGCTTAAAAACAAGCAGGTCTAACCTCCCACTCTCTCATATTGATCTCCAGTAATGGGACAGAAAGATGGGTTTGATAGAAGATGGCCACAAGACTTAATGACAGTCTCTAAACCCATCCAAAAGTACAACAGATGAGCTCCTGGGGCGCACTATCCTGAATGTAAAGCAAGTGATTAAATCTCACAGTACCTGATTGACTTTTCAGTCTGTTAAAGTACAACCTGGTTGTAACGGCAGCTTGAATAATTACTCTCTCTGTAGCTTTCTCATTGAGAGGTCCAATGTTTCAACACTCTCATCACTATGAAATGTGATTCACAATCAGAATTACTACATTTAAATGGTATTTATTAAATAAATCGAGGTTCAGTCCTCGAGTGCCACTGTCCTGTAATATTTAGAGGCATTCCCTCTCCAAAAACCCTGAATCAAATGAATGGTTTATGACCAGGTCTTTGCCGATTCAGGTGTATTTGAGCAGAAATGCATCCAAACGTTGCGGGAGAGTCACTGGAGTCTCAGACTGCTGAAATAGACGAGATAAAACTAAGGATTATTGTCTGACAGTTGACAGAACAAAATGGACCTGGGTTTTAATCTGCCTATCTATCTGCATGGAGCTGGCATGTACTCCATATCCTTTTGTAGCTTCTCTCTGGGTACTCTGTCTTCCTCCTGCAGTCCAGAAACATGCAAACTTGGTTAATTGGTTTCTATAAACTTGGATTAGGAGTGTGAGATTTTTATTTGTCTTCTAATGCTGTAGATAGGGACCAACCCTGAGGGACCCTGCATGGACAGATGGATGGGTGTACAGTGTAAATTCATTTTCTGACTACGTCCCATTTAAATCCTGCCATTTAACGATATTTACTTTCCTTGAAAGCGACAGAGTCTTTGACTGCGAACACTATTGTAAGGATGAAAGTACTGATTCAATACAACAATAAAGTTGTGTGCTAAAATACTGTTTTGCAATCTGTGGACAACAAAATTGGCCATAATTCTTGAAAGAAGTTGGCAGTGAAAAATGTTCTTGCGTTGTTTCTTATCAGGGAAATGTTGCAAGACTCTAGAAGGATCCACTCTGATATTTTTGGCTACTACTCTTCTGCAGATTTCAAGTCAATAAAATATCTCTAGATTATTTTATCAGGATTTTCTTCCTCTGATCCTGATCTTATTCGTTTAAGAATATTCATCAACCCATAAAAGTTAATAAGATCAATATCATTTAATATA